TAGAGATTTAACAAAACTGGATCTAGGGTCCATGAGAAAGTATTTTCGATAAATAAATAAAGTGTATTTTTATATTACATTTTATATATAAATTTTTATACTACCATGAAAAATGAAGTTTGACTATATATATACCGCATGGGGCGGTACGCAGATCTTAGATCAATCATTGAATAATAACGAAGATTATGAGAAATACTCAAATTAGTCAGTGAGATGGATGGGACTCTGCAGAAACCCCCCAGCCATCATTGAGTAAAAGTGCCCGGATGCGCTAACTCGGAAAAGGCTCAACGTACGACTTTGTATGTACTTGTATAATATAATACTTTTATACAAGAAATATAACACTTTAAAGTATATAAATTAAAAAAAATATTTCATAGATGTGTTAAAAATTACCGAAAAATGAATTCTCAGAATGCAGGTATCCAGATTTTTATAAATATTTAAGATGAGTCAACATTCTATTTTTGTTATTGACTAACAGAATTTTTTTTAATTTAATAATAATATTTACATTTTTTATTTGCCTTTTCTCTATACTCGTAAAATAAGGAATTTTTATAGAAAACCTATATTTTGTTTATTAATTGGAAATTAACTTTTATTTTAATTTTAATATTAATATTAATAGTTCCGAAAAATAAAATTTGCTACAGTGATTTAAAAGTAATTATCTTTTAAAAAACTTGAAATAAATGTAGGATTTATTTTATTTATTTAATATTAATTTTATTATATATATATATATATATATATAGTTATATTACGTATATAAAATATATATACACGGAATCTCTTCAGGAGCTCCAGAAAAATTTTTTAATTAAAAAAAATGTTTATTTTATTAAACAATCATACTGCATTATTTATGGATATAGATGTATATAAACGTATTCTTATGATATATAAGATATAAGGTCATATAGTCTGTGTAAAATTTTGAGCAACAAAACATTAAAATTTTAAAAAAGTCTCTGAGCGATGATAATATACTACAAACTTAAGTTTATAAATGATACAAATACTTTAAAGAATATTAAAAAGACATTGAAAAGGTATCTTAATACATTCATACAGTACATCCAAAAATTTTGATTGTTTTGGACATAATATGACATATTGTAACAAAACATGACATCACTGTAATATCGCAATTACCTAATCCTCCACATGATTTCCTGTTACAGTTCAGCTGCGGCTAACAGACATAAAAAACATAACATCACTATAATATCACGATCATCTTATTCTCCACACCATATACTTTTCCCGTGACTGCTCAGCTTTAGCTAACAGAGCGAACAGATTTTTAGGGAAATATTTTTTCACAGTCTATCAGACTGTTCATAAGAACAAAAGGTCTACGTAAACTTAATTAGGTGAATATAGTTTATCTACTGAGATACTTAGCAAAGAATGTCGTATTTAAAAGACGTGTCTTTGGTAATACGAATGGTATACGCCGATGAATCAGCCAACCAACCAAATAAACTACATAGCATAAATGGCTATATTAGGAGGACACATCTGACAGTACTGTTACTTTGACAAGAAAGGTAAGAATGACAAATGATTGCTCGTGTTTGAAACGTCAGTTTTAGGAATTGTTGGCTATGGAGTAATATACACTATTCGAACGCGCTGACGCCCAGAAGGATTTTTGGCAAGCAATCATTATTAGTGATAAGATGCGTTACATGTTAAATGGAACCGTAAACAAACAAAATTATCGTTCCTATGCTATGAAAAGGCCTTAAATGATTGAAAAAGCTCCACTTTACTGCCAAAAAGAGGGAGAGTGTGGTGCGGAATATGTGCTCAATGATTATCTGACCATAATTTTTTTACGACGTCAGTGACAAAGCAACAACCGTCAATCAGGTGCGAAATCGGGCTATGATATCTGATTTTTTAGGCGGATTTTTCAGGAATATTGTATGCATTACTTCTGGTTTCAATATGATGATATGTACCACATCATACAGCTTTTATCACAATCCATTATTTAAAGCCATTGTTCATTTGATGTCAAGAAACTGTGATTTTGACAGGACTTCGTGTTATCGCTATTTAAAATCGCTAGACTTTTTCTCTGAGATTGTTTGAAATCAATGGTTTATGTCAACAAGGCAAGTACGCTGATGCTTATCGCCATAGAAGTATTAGTAAGTATGATCAAAAATCTGAAAAACAGACACATTACTCTATTTGAGCTTAGGTAGCCAATTGCGAGATATATTCTTCGGAAAGTGATGTGGTCAAATCTTCTTAAGCCAAGTTAAATGATTTTTAACTGGAACACTAAAAATGTGTTTTTTTTATTTTTTTAATATAGCCGATCTATATACGACACATAAAAGGTTTTCAAAAGTTACATATCTAATAAGGATAACAGACAAATCATATGTTGCAAATAGTTTATTTACTTATTATAATTTCAAACTTTAAAAGAATAAAATAAATTATGAGCACATAATTATTGAAATCATTATTTCAGACTTACAGATGAATTTTATATTGATTTTATTTTACATATTTTTTATATAAGATAGATACTGCAAAAGTTTAAATAATAAATCATAATAGTAAATTATTCCAACACTTAATTGTTAAATATACGAAATAAAATTAATGAATGAATAAATTATCATAAAAAATTAATCAAGTACATTAAAATGATCAAGCTTACTTGTTTATTATAACAAAAGATATAAAAAAACAAAATATACTAACATTAATTATTATTATTAATTAATTAAAAAATGTTTAAATTCTATGCATAAAATTATAAAAATTATTTAATACTAATTCAAAAGAATTATCACAATTATTATATATAGGTATATAGAGTAATCGTATATGTTATATATTGGAATCAAAATAAATTCGTTTCATATATATAATGAAGCATTTTTCATAATATTTATTACTATTTATTATATTATTAATGTTACAAAATTTCATATATAAAAATATAAAATATTATTGAATATTATATTTCCTGTATTAATTTAATATTATTTTTAATTTTTAATTTTAATTATTTACGTCATGTACAAATTGAGTATATATTTCAATTTAATTTATAATTAAAAATATATTTTAAATATATATTTCACATAATATTACAACAATATAATATTTCAATTTAATTTATAACTATAAACATATTTTAAATATATATTTCACATAATATTATAACAATATATTTAAATTCAATTTATAATTATAAATATACTTTAAATATAAATATTTATAAAAATAAATTGAATTAAAATAAATATAAATATTTTAAATCACAAGTGAACTGACTAACGTATTTATACAACTATAAAACAAAATAAATATAAATAGAATATATATAATATTAATATATTGATATAGAATATGGCATCTTTATACACATACTAAGATATAAAATAAAATATATAATTTTAATAAATTCTATAAATAAAGAGAAACTTATTTATGAAACTATATCTGATCAGTCAAAGAAAGTTTTACTTAGTCCAATTTTTGATAGTTCTAATAGTTACATGCTTTTTTAGATACTTAGAATAGACTTTTCTTTTGTTCACAAATGTTATCTTTTTCTATATTAAAATATTTTAAATACTTAGATTTTTAAAAGATCAATATATATTGTACAATAATAATCACATAACATAACATATAAATTAAGATTTGTATAGTATAGTATATTCGATTATAGATATAGTCCGAATCTTATATTTAAAAAAGTTACTCGTATAAATATGACAATATGGTAATTGATATATAATAGCGGCATATAGGTGCAGAGATTGTTTTAAGGGGGGTTTTTTTGACAACCAACCTAAAGTTTATATCAAAAGATTATATTAAAAAACATCAATTATATGTTTTGAAAAATGGCCTAATGGGTAGGTAAATTGGGTGGCTAAAAAAAAACTCCCCTTAATAGACATCATTTATATAAACTAATCACAATTTTTGTTTACCTATATATATTACTAAAACCATTATAATAAACTATATAAACTTTGTGCTATTAATGTTTTTAAAAAAGTGAGAGTTTGATGTAAAATCCAAAATCTTCCCCTTGTATATAAATTTTATAAATTAAACATATTTTTTAATTAAATCATTATTTTATAGAAGTCCTTCATTGACTTATTGTATTAACTTTGACAGCTATTTATATATAAAAATAAATTATTTTAAATACGGCTTATTTTTCAAAATTGTACATTTACATAAACTTAATATATTTTTTGTTTAAATCTATATTTTATAGAAGTGCTTGTATTGACTTATTAAATTTACTTTGTTAACTATTTACATATATACAAAATATTTTTTTCATCTGTTGCTTGGTTTTGTGAAAGACTTTTTGAATTCATATTTCTCGATGAATTAAGTTCTCATATAAGAATTATAGTTTTCAATTATATAAAACAGCATAAGTATTATAGAAGGTACGAAAAAAACTATTATTAGAAATATTACATTAATAATGCAATATAGATTAATTTCGTGCTTCTGTGCTGCATATAGGATTTACGGGAATTTATAAATAAATATATTAGTATCGATTAATATAAGTCAAGATATTGAAAACATTAATACTTTTAAATAAGTTAAAATATGCCGTATATTAAACTATAAGGTACGTAAATGTTTATAAAATATAACATTTTTAAATAAATTATATAAATATACTAATAGTACATAAAACAAATTTACAAGAAATTTACATACAACAAATAAGCAATAAAATATAAATGAATAAATGAGAAAATTATATAAAATATATAAACAATACAATATAAATTTATATTTATATATTATTTTTTATATATACTATTTATATTTATATGTATAAATATATGAAACAAATTGTATTGTTTATATACTTTACATAATTTTCTTAATCATTTATTACATATATTTATAAGTTTAAATAAAATAAATATAAATTAATATTTTAAAAAGAAGATAATAATGTACTTCTATAACATAATTACTACTTTTATAAATTTAATACATAATCCGCCATGTCGTACTTTAATATATCACATACAACCCCTGTCATGCGTCTTTTAAATATAGGCTCCGAACGTGGAGTTAAAAGATAATAATCATTAATTAATGCACGATTCTTTTCATTATTTTCCTCACTTTTGTTCGCTGAGTCCTTTGACGAGCTCGGTACACTGTTGTTTGCGTTTTGTGTTGTTGAGTCCTCAGGTGCAGATATTACAGAAATTGCTTCACAAACTTCATCCAAATCCACTAATTCATTAGAATTAGATATAAAAAATGGTATAGAGAATGCAGCCATACATAGCCCAAAAATTCCATATCTACATAATTGTTGCTTGAAAATTTGCTCTGGATAAATTTTTGTTGGGTCTAAAGCGAATAGACATATATGTTTAGCTAAACATTTATAATAGATATCAAGTAATTCATTAAGATGAGCATCTCGAAAAGTTTTTTCCGTGCAAGTAAATGTATAATGAATTAAATCGAGTACTGGGGCAGCATACCGAGCAATTTGAAAGTCTACAAATTTTGCAGATTCAGCGCATTGGTTGCTCTGAAAAAAAAAAATAAAATAATATTAGTATATAATGTAGCTAAATGTATTGTAACTTACATCCAATTTATATAATATATTATTATTCCAAAAGTCACCATGGCAAATGACTGCATAAGGCGCACATGCATTTCCTTGTACACAACTTATGCCCACCTTTTTGAAGTTTTGTTCTACCTTGTCTAGTACTGCAATCATATCAGCGGTGTTATCATATGTTTTTGGCTCAGTTTCCTCCACAAGCATGTCACGCGTGCGCTTTATATATGTTTTACCAAATTCTACAGACACATCGGCAATATTCTCGGTAAATAAATTATCCACCATTTGTGAGACAAGCTCTGTAAAGACTTTTGGTTTCTTGGCTTGCAATATAAATGACATTGCATGAAATTTGGCTAAAGTTTGAAATGTCTTCAGCACCAAATCATATGTGGGAGGTTTGCTTCTAGCATTTTGTATATAACCAATTTTTAATAAATCCTCAAAAATGATAAATTCGTCATGATTTTCTAGCGAATAGCTGAACATTTTCGGTACAATATCGAATAATGCACTCTCTGCAGACTCTCCATTTATAGAATTTCGCTCTTCGGCCAACACGTGAAACTCTTCAAAGACCTTCTCATATAAAAAAACTTCACGTGTATAGAAGTCAAAAACATTCATATGAGCACGACGTGCGGGATTTTTTGGAGAAATTTTTAAAATGCTTGAAAATGGAGTTTCTGAACTTTCTCCAGATTTTGCGTTACAATTTACCTGTAGAACTAAACCATAGGAATTATCTCCTGCCCCTGAAATGGGTTGCACTTTTAGATCGCTTGCATTTAAAAAGCTTTGTTGCGTCAAATTAGCGTATGTCTTCAGAATATTTGGTGTTAATTCCTCGTCTTTATTTTCCGTTAATTTTTGAGAATTTTCACATTTTGTGTTATTTTTTTTATTTAATGTTTCACTAATATCACCCATTTTTTTTTTAAACAAACAAACAAACAAACAAATAGACAACGACAAACAGTACTTTGCAATAATTTCGTTTTAAAAAAAATGCTTCTACAGTTCTAGTTCCGTACGACGCTAGCAAACTATTTTATTTGCTCTCTGAAGCATATTTCAGCTTTTATTTATATATATACCAAACTTATAGTAAGCGTTCTAGCCAAAGCTTTTATGTAGATAATAACTTTAAGTGCTCTCAGCTTAGCGAAGCTTTCGGGTTTTTATTATCATTAGATTTTACTATACCTGAAGCTGTTTCATTCATTGCGTTAGAGAAGTGTGCGAATTACAAATTAAATCAATCCTATTGACTGCAAAACTACTTAAAAGCTAAGTAATAAATTAGCAATTTATAGGTCTATAATATATATAGTCTATAATACAGTCTATAATAGTTATTTGTTGAAGAATTATTAGGAGAGTAATTTGCTATAAGTATATAAGATACAATGCTATAACAAAGAATCATATCTGCTTTATATAGATCTACCAAATGAATTCTTTAGTTATCTTAGTTCCCTTAGCATTTACGAAGATAAAGCAAATCAATTAGGAAATCCGACCGCAGAGTAACGTTGTGGCAAACACTTAAACATAATGATATTTTGACTTACAATTGGAAAGACGATTACATATTGCTCGGCATAGTGATTTGACAACCGATTTTGTTAAATTTCATTATTATCAGGAACTTTTTTGAAGAAATATATATTAGGCTTTAAGTTCTTGCATCGAGTATATCAAACAAAAGTGTAGTCACGGCATCTAGCGACAAAAAGTAAATGCAATTTTGTTAAATTTCATTATTCCCAGAAAGTTTTTCTGAAGACATAGATATAAGGTCTTAAGTTTTAAACTCTTGCATCGAGTATATCAAACAAAAGTGTAGTCACGCACTTTAACGACAACAAGTGTATGAAATTTTTACAATAATTACACAAATAATGATTAATAACAAACACCAAATGTGGGATTTAGTGTTTAGTTCATTAGTATAAAAATTTGTATATTAAAAGTGAGATATTAGAGGCATCAAGCCATATCGGCATGTACCGTAGTGTTCAGAATAGCCACTTTGACCAAACTCATGGCCAAATCGCAGCACCTTGAAAAATGTGATCGTGCCGACATATGATATACATGGTCTGCACAGACGTATCACATGTGACATTCCTGGTGTGCATAGACATATTCTTTATTATATCATAGTGATTAGATATGACAATGCTAGATTAGTAAGGAGTTTACCATGTGACAATTTTTTAACGATGTTTGGAGATGTGTCTACGATGTGACAAATGAATAGATATGTCAATATTAAAGGTGTTCCAAACATGGAACTATAACAATACACTCAAGACAGAATAAGAGATTTTAGTGATATTTTAAGAAAAACAAACCCATTTGTTAGAAAAAAACATTTTATATTTTTATATAGTGGCGAAACTTTATAAATTTTATTATAAATTATTTTTCCATATAGCATATTAACAAAATTTGTTCACTAATATTTTCAAATTCCAAACATAAAGAAATTGTTAGAAGAAGCGAGATTTATTACCAGTAGTGAACCAACAACATATGAAGCTTACATTGATGGTTATGGAAATTATGTTTTACGAATGATTCTAAAAAGTTGGAGAATTATCAGCTCAAATTTATCATAAATAAATTTATATAATGTGTTTTCACACAAATGATAAGCTATGATAGCTTTTAATCTTTATTTGCAGAAATTTTAATACAAAAATTATTTCTGGTAATTTTTTTATGCTTACAACTTATTCGCTCCTACTTTCTCTGTTGTAAATTTTTTCATTCTTAAGTTTTGATGTTGTTAGCTAGTACTTTGGCTTTTGTTTTTTGTTATTGTGATTCAGTAAAATATAAAAATATCTACAATTAAACTCAGTTTATAAGAAATACCTTATTAAACTGACTTAATTACTTAATTTAAATATTTCCACAAATTTTTTATTATTACTATTTGTAGCACTTGTGATAAATTCCTCTACAGAGGTATTTAAAAACTTGTTTTTCGTAGTGTACATTTAAAGTTCATAAGATCGATCTTAAACAAAATGTGTTTGTTTTGATCATTTTAAGATGAAATTGAAATTTAAGTTCATCTAAGTTCAAACTTTACTACCAAAATATTTATAGTTTTAAATGCGCAAATTATTCTAACCAGACTTACTCATACCTGATTTTTTCACATTTTTTGCTAATAGTAAATTTTATCTTAACTATTTTTTAATTTCATCGAAAGCTTAAAAATAGTGAATTATCAATTATTTTGATTATTTTGAAAAAGGTGATTTTTCCATAAAACTTGAGAGCACGGTTAATGAACTTTTTGAAGGTTACTTGGCCGGCTACTCTCGAAATGCAGCAGTTGACAATTTCTCCAACAATTCGGAACTAGCATTGACGAAAGCAAAAATTTGACCAAGTTTTCGAAACGCTTTATGACTTCGCAAAAACAGATAAAAATCCATTTAGTTTCTAAGCATTGCCGGAAAGCTTTTTGCGTTAAGTTCAACGACTTCGGAAAGCGAAGGTCAAGAATTATTTACTAACATCGATGAATGCACTTTAATATTTATAATTTTTTTTATTGTATATTGTTGATATTAAAAAGTTTAGAAATTTTTTCAATTATAAAAACAAAAATTTATGTAAGAGTCCATTGAACCTCAATGGACTTGCTTAAAAAGTTAGAAATGGTGAGAGTTGCAATGCGATAAGTCCATACGGAAATAATAAATAATTCCATTTATTAATAAATAAATGAAGATATATTTAATATGAAATGTTTGTTTAAATATTGTAGAATAAAATAATATAAGATTACCTGCTATTATAATCCCAATTATTTTAAAAACATTGGATATGATATTTAATTAAATAATTTAATTTTTTGTTTAATTCAATTTTTTTTGTTTTTAATTTTTTTTTTTATTTAATTTTTTTTTAAATAAATTTTTTGCTTTATTATTTAATAATTTGTAATTTATTATTTATTGTGCATATATAATTTGTCTTTTTTTGTTAATTTTTAAATTAGTTCAGAGGTGATTTAACACAAGGGTTTTCTCCTAACGCATTTTTAAAACAAATAAAAATAAGTAAAATAAATCCATTTTTCAAAAACTTTGGTTTTAGATTGTTTTTACAATAAAACTTATTGCAAAATTAAAAAGATTTGCACTCATTAGTTGATATAATATATTAAATTTTAATTTAAAATATAAACAAAAATCAAATGCACTCCAGATGCACTCGACTCTAAGAGCTGCCAGGTCTACATTCCGATAATATCTACCAACAACTACCAACTGCAGCTTACAACTTTTGCTAAAGTTTGACTATTGTTATATGCAATGTTCTTCCTATGAAGAGTCAGGTCACAACAAGTCAGGCTAAATCCAAGAATTAGAATTACGACCGGGTTTTCGTCCCGGAACCAATCGTCGATCTCGACCACCAACAGCCGTTCAACGCCCCCCAAAGAGACTACAAAAGCAGGCCCCAACGGGCTATTAAGACCGGGTTTTCGTCCCGGAACCAATCGTCGATCTCGACCACCAACAGCCGTTCCACACCCCCCAAAGAGACTACAAAAGCAGGCCTCAACGGGCTACTACAAACAACAACAACAACAACAATTGTTAAAGCTTTTCAATAATAATACCACTAACACAAAGAGGTCTGTATTCACCATTCATCAAATCCCAAACCATTCTAGAAATCAAGATTTGCTTTAAAAAACCATCAGAAAGCCTGTAATAATATTACTTATACAATAATAGAGCGCAGCAAGCAATTCTGATATGTGAACTGTGAACTATAGTTAATTTTTCATTTTATGTCTCAAATCAGCCTATACATACAAAAGATCTCAAGATGTCCTTATGTAGAGACTATAAAAATATCATCAGAACTAAAAATACTGCGAGGCTTTACAACCATGATTATAACAAATATTTAGAGGTAACAGAAAATATTTTTTTTAACATATATATATATATTAAAAACTTTTATATATCAACTTATATAGTAATTTAGAAATTTCTATTACTGATTAAAATAAATAAATAATATATGAATTTAATAATAAATTTATAAATTTATTATTAATAAAAATTAAATCAAAAATTAAAATAATCAAGTATTTTTATAAACTTCCGTATTCTTAAGATAAGATAGTTATTGTTATCAGCTGCATATTCTAGGACCGATCGAATCCAAAGAGCCCTGAAGTTACATATATAAAAAAACAAACGAACAATTACCGCTCACCTCTTCGAAATCAAAAAAAAAGAAGTCTTAAGATTTGCTTCGGAATTATTTAAGATATTGTATAATAAAAAATTATTAATAAATTAATTATTAATTATTTTAAATATTATACAATATTTTAGATATTATACAATATCTAAAATAACTATTCACAAAGACTGCAGATAATTAATTTACAATTAATAAAATTATAAAGTGACAAAGTAAACATATATATCATATTCATGATTTTTTCAATGAATGCTCAAAACATATTCTAAATAATATGGAAACAATAAGAGAAATAAAACACAATAAATCTATTATTCTGAATAATAAATTGTTATTATTATACTGGATACTGGATTACATTATTACCATTAATATTATTATTATTGTTAGTAAGATTGGGACACGGTACTTGAAAATATTAAGTGTAGTAATAAAATATCCTAATAAGACATTAGGCTAGTAATTAACCTTTGGTTTATATTGTTAGACTTCTTTGGCTCTATGAGAACGAGATGAAGATATCGCATAATCGCATGACATAAGTATAGTAATAATTAATGAATGTTTCTGTCTGATCTTTAAAAAAAATCCAATGATATAAACATTTTGCAGTTCCATCTTGAATAAGTGGTAACTAACAAATGAATATCATTAACTCATTCATTATTAATCTTAATTTGCAACGCTTTAAATTTAAAAACTGATCTTTTTTTTTCTTTTTTTTCTTTTTTTTACTTGATTTGCTCTAGATATTGATTTTGTAAATAGATCATATCTTTGAAACCGTGCAGAAATATTTTATAAACTAAATTGATTTAGGTAGTGATTTTGTAAATGGATTTGTTTTATGAAATAAGTGCCGTCATTCTCATTTACATGCTCTTCAGTTACCACACATTTTAGAAATCCAGGAAGAGTGACTTCCATCGTATCCTATGATTATAAGAAATATATAGGATGTCTTCATCTAGCTTGTATAGAACTTTTCTAGCTTTTTAGAATGTTCAGTTAACTCAATATGTTGGACTGAAATTTTCAACTTTTTCTAATGCTGTTCCAAGATAATGGAACTAATACAGTTAACCCATTTTAGCCTATTGGGCTAAAAGTGTAAATACCCAAGAAAGTGTAGCCACGTAAACTATTCTAGCACGAACTAAGTGAAAGATATTACTATAAATTTTTTAAAATTTTTTACTTTAAAGAGGAAGGATGAACCTACAACATAAAAATAGAACAGCGTAATTTTTACCTAGTTAACTTTAGTTTCTCACGTGTTAAAATCTCGATTTTTTTTGTCAAAAAATGCTTGGGAAAAATGCTGCCAAAATTTTGGGAAATGAGTAAAAACTAGAACCCCTCACCATCCTACATTAATTTGGCTGAGTGTAAGCTACACAGATTGGCTGGTTCCAAGTGGCACCAAATGGTATCACTAGTAAGATTATTTAGTAGATCTGTAGTAGTCAATGATTTTGTGAATCAACGAAGTGATTAAAACTCCATTTTTGAATATTTCATTAACTTACCAAAATGTGGAGCACTCAAGCATTTTAAGCTTATTTCACATAACATAGGAAATTAACATAAGTTATGTTTTATAGTTTCTTTTCTCAATATGATATATCAAAAACAATAAAATGTTACTTAATCTGCTACTTAATCTGCTAAAATGTATGAGTAAAGTCTGTGTAGCATTTTCAAATTTCGACAGGGATGTTACGCTCTCTTATATGCTCTCATTTACTCGAAAATTTGCTAATGGAACGCTCTTGTGTATACACAGTGTTACTAAAAGTTACTATGAGTACCTCGTGAAACAGACCTAATGGCCCATTACACTATCATGATCATGAATATGAACATGAACTTGCAAACCGGTTGCTTATTGATGAGAGAGGAAAGAGAGTGTAATGTGAGTTCATGAATTTCACGCAATGAAATTTTGCTGCGTTTCTTCAGCTTGACACGCATACATATGCAATGTTATGTTTATGTTCACCTTTTTAATGCTGAATACTCTCAAATTCTGTACCCTTCACTACTACACTAGACCCAGTTCATGTTATCGCCAAGTTCATCTCACGTTCATGATAGTGTAAATAGGTCCAATTACTTCATTTTTTTATTAATTTTGTTTTACAATATCTTGATCTTCTTTGATATGTAGGACGTGTGCAAGTTAGGCTAAGTTGATGCTAAATCAAATGGGATATTTTTTGGGATTTTTTGCACTGCACACATTTATCCAATTATCAACACGTATCGACACATCACTACATTATTGGCGCAACTTAAAATTTCCTTCATTTAGAACGCAACTTAGCCTAACTCGCACACGTCCGTAATTACTAAATAATAATGTAACTTTATGAATATATACAATTTTAAATAATTTATAAAATTAAATATTGTGTCCGTTAAATACAAATGCATTTACACATTTTTTAAACATTTCACTTTCATTTTAAAAATTAATTTTACAGCGGCTTCTAGAGATTGAAGCAAAATAACAAAACAGATATGTTATCAATTCTCAACTTTTGTTATGTCAGAATTTCCGTACAAATGTCAAAACAGCTGCTAAAAGGAAAAAAACAAAAACACAGAAACGCGAAAAACAAACTTCTATATTTTAGAATTATCATTGTTTATTTGCAGAAAGTTCTGGAATTAACTTATACCACAATTCATTTATATTAAATTCCCTCTATAATGAGCGAAATAAAGGTAAATCCTGTCTGCAATTCATTAAATTTCCATAAAAATCTCAGTATTTATTTAGGTGGAATTTGCGGTGAAAATGTGTGGACCAAAGTGTGTTGATAGCGTACGGAAAGCACTACATGGTATGGGTGATGTACAGTTTGATGAGACTGAAGGTAGAGTGGTAATAACCACAACTGAACCGTGGTTTAAAATACAAGACAAAATTGAGAGTACCGGTCGTAAAGCAGTACTTTCAGGCTATGGTGGTCAATCGGCAGTGGCTATGATAAATACTACAGGCAGAACTATTGATCGTACACCTATACAAGGAGTAGTACGATTTAGTGCATTGACAAAAGATACGGCTGGTGTTGTTGTAGATGGTGTGGTAGATGGTTTAACACCCGGTTTGCATGGATTACATGTACATGAAACCGGAGATGTGTCACAAGGTTGTGCATCTGTTGGTGCACACTATAATCCACGCAATTCACCGCATGGCGGTAGAGATGATGGTCCTAATGAAAGACATGCTGGTGATTTAGGAAATATACGTGCAGATGAGAGTGGACGTGCAAACTTTAGATTTATTGATCCTATGATTGAAGTTTGGGATATAATTGGCAGATCAGTTGTTATAACAGAACATGAAGATGATTTGGGACGCGGACAAACGCCACAAAGTTGTATTGATGGTAATGCGGGTAGAAGGTAATGCAATTAATTTGTTTCTTTATATATACATAGTATATATTTATTTTTTTGTTTGTATTATAGGCTTGCTTGTGGCATCATAGCACGTGCTGCAGGTATATTACAAAATTATAAAAGCTTCTGTGCTTGTGATGGAGTGACGCTGTGGGATGAACGAAATAAGCCTTTAGCAGGTGGTAATCGTTCACAAAAATTATAAACTTTAAAAAATTCAATTTTTGTTATTTGTTTTTTGGTATTTTTAAGACAATAAGAAAATAATAAAATATTTTTATGAAAAAATGGGTAAAAATTAGTGCATAAGCAGATTTTTCAAAAGTTAATACATATATATACATATATTGTAAAATAAGATATATTACGATGAATGTAAATTAAACAAGGTTAAATAGAAAAATATTTTTGGTTTTTATAAATATAATTATGATGATTAGTTGCTAAATTTGAGATCTAAAGCAAAGGAAAGTACTAAACTCATTGTAAGCCGCTCGTAAAATTCCTATCGAGGCTGGTGAATGGGCACTTGGTCGTAGTGATTGACGAGTGGCTTCAGGACGTACAACTGCCTATTTTTGGAACCAATAAACTCATTCAATGTTTCATAAAAAAACAATAGCAATTGTTTATAAAAATAAATAAATGTTATTAAACAAATGGGAAAGATGTAGTACTAAAGATGTAGGCATTCAATGCGTTCTAGCGCTTTAGAACGTCGTTACCACAGTTAACTGCGACCACATCTAAAATTGATTGAGAGCCAACTCATTACATATGGAGAAGACCAATTTAAAACATTCTTTTAATTATTTAACAAAATCAACTACATACATACATTCGCACATATTCCATTCATATTCTTATTAGAATTCTCATTCAAGATGGCTGCTGAAGGCTACTGCCTTTTTGTAAAAGAATTAAAAAATATTTAAACATAAATGTGCATACATTTGTATACAAAAATTTAAATACAATAAATTTAATAAATGAAATTGTTGAAACAACATATAATATAAATATATTAAGTAAATACTCACCCAGTAGCGAGATTAGTACGTGACGATGATTCCATCTTGTTTAAAACTTTAGACAATATTTTCAATAATGAATTTATAATTTAATATTTCACTTTAAACTTTGTATACAACACAAATTTATTTTATTATTTAATTTTAATATCGCTTTTAGCTATTAAAAATAAATATTCACGAAACTGAATTAGGAGCCTTGCACACAACCGCTAAACTTTCTTCTAATATTTTTAATTATAACGTCTGTCAACTATGAAACTACACTACATTAGATAAAGCAGATATATTTACACTGAGGCTACACTACTTTTGCTTTTGGAAATATTTTTGTATACATTTACATGATGATTAAAAGCATATAACATTTTTTTTGTATACAAAATGTGAAAATGCGTATATGCATTCATATATAAGAAACTTGCTAAAGTATTGCCAGTGTAGATGCGTCGACAAATATCATGATATGTTATGTCTTCGCATTTTCTTTACCTTTTGATTTATAAATTTCCTTTTAAATAATCAAAATAGTAAAATAATTATATTAGGGGTATTCACGCAACTGATTAGTTGCTTAGTAGTTGATTACAACAAAAATTTGCACACAAAAATGAAACTAAGCAGAGAATCAACTATTTCGGTGATTCTCAGATTAGTACAAATTTAATTAATAGTGCTGCCAGTCTCAAGTGTCGTAATAATAACTTAAAATGAACTTTTGTATCGAAATTTATTAGCTATCTCTCTCAGCTGTTTAAATTGTGTGTAAACAATTTTCACTGTTAACGTATGTTTTGCTTTTGCTGTTGATGCGAGTGCTGCCAAGACATTTACACACAACAAACTAATCAGATTACGCATTTTGGGTCGTTCAAGCAACTGATTAACATTAATATGCTAAATTTTTTTTATATGAAGTTTTTGAATCAACTAAGCAACTAATCAGTTGCCTGAATACCCCTATTATTTTAATAGCACTTTCTCAACGGAGGACTAGTTCTTGAGAAAGTGAGAACTAAAAAGTCCGAATTTAATATTATATTTTTCTGTGTGATTAGTTCATTCCTAACGTTTTCCAATATATATTTTTTTCTAATTTTACTGGAGTATCAAAAACATAAAAGTTTTATTTTTTAATATTTCTTGATATCTCAAATGCAGTTATTGTGCTTTTAGTTTTTTTTTAATAAAATCTCCATATTTTTTCGATAATATATAAGCTCGATCACTTATTTCACGTTTGCGAATTTGTCTAGAATCGAAATAAAATTTTTGAGACAATTGTTATCAATTATGGGGTTGTATAACATTATTGCTATATATCTGTTTAGATTTGGGTACAAACATTATATACCTGATAATGACAACTATACATAAATATAATTCTATGCTCTAGAAAATAAAAAACCTGCTATATAGTTCTTCCAGTATGCTCCGAATTGTTTCTGTTACCCGGGCCTCTTTTACAAAATGAACAAATCTTTCCTCTACTTTTTTTTATTTGACATCAAAATCTTACTTGTCCTAATAAAATAAATAAACATAATTATGTAAAATGTCAAGATAAACAGTCCAAGATCTTTTGATTGGTGCTGAAGTTCCACAATGCAACGTATTGGGTTCTCTATATAATTTGCACTTCTGAGTTAACAGTAGTTGATGATGTTCTTATTATTAAATTTGCTGATAATACAGATGGAATTATATCAAGTAATCCTTTGCAGACGCTTTTATAATAGAACTTCGAATGGAACACTGGTTTGAAAAGTTGATAATTAATGTAGATTCTCTTTATGAAATATACTAAGTTTCTATTAAATATAATAGTCACAGGTTTCAAAAGTAAATAATTAATGTAGATTCTCTTTATGAAATATACTAAGTTTCTATTAAATATAATAGTCACTTTCATCTCAAAAATTTGACGTTAAATAACAACTTATATTCACAAAATATTGGTCTCGCCCATGTGATTCGTGGAGTAACATTAGCATGTTAGCATGTTACAAAAAGAATATAGTTTATGATTTAGTTTTAATATAATACAGCAAGTGAATTTGTTAATAAAACTTTTATAGTAAAGTAACAAAATTCCAGAAAAATGTGCGTACATAAAAGTCAAGTACGGCTTTGGGTCAGTTGGTTAAAGAGCACTGACTCTAAACTTTAAAATTAGCAGGGCATGAGTTCAATCCCTGGTACTTGCAGTCTCAAAAAGTTATTTACGAATAATTAAAAACACTGATGATGGATATTTGGCAATACTAGTAAGAGCTGTATGGTCAGCCTTACATTAAATTTATTAAAAATAATGTAAAATGAATTTATGTTGTTGTAGTTCACTACTATTCGCAAAAACCTCTTTATAAAGTAGATTCAGTTAAAACCTTTGATATTATCTGCTACCTGATTTTTTTTGGTGGTAATCTATATGGAAAATTAATTTCTAGCATTTCTCTAAAGCATTAATTTTACTAATTCATAACATTCTTTCAAACATTACTCGTCTATTCATATATATTAATTTCAAGGTTTTTCAATTTATTTGCTGTGCTCTGCATAATTAAGTTTCAAGCTTTAGTAAAGTTTTTATATTTTTTGAAGTCATTAAATATTTTATTGCTACTTTTGTGGCAAAACTCATACTCGTAAAGGCTTAGGGAAACTATTCTCTATTCTCTATCCTCTTCCTGAAAACTACTTAACGCGTTGTAAGAAATTCCAGTTAACAAATTGTTATAATTGATGTCCTTACCTAGCAAATTGTCAGGTAAAGTTGTAAATGGGCGTAATACTGTAATCACTATAATTCTTGGAAAATTATTTTAAAAAAAATTTTGTCAAAAGCTTAGAATATTGAAATAGAATCCGAGAAATTTGCTGACCCTTAAAATCAATGCAATAATCTTAATGAAAAATAAAAGACCAGAAAACATTACACAAAAAACGAAAAACAAGACAAAATAAACAGTAGGAAAATATAAACAGTATTATTTCAAATTTTATAAAAATATTATTTAGTAAATAGAAATCCTAAAAGAAAAGCAAAGCAAAGAAAACATTAAAGTTCGTTGGTCATATTATATTTGAACGAAAACTCAAAACATGCACCCACACCCACATTTTCGGGACGGTGTGTCGGTACTGCAAAAATGCCATAAAATGCCAGCAGAAGTATTTTTATACACAGAAACCACGTCGGATGCGTCTGCCTTGTTGTGGTCAAACCTATTCAAATACAAGCAACAATGGGCGCCATAGCAGCCAATACAGCCAACCATCACCTCAGCAAATAATCCATTTAAGTACGTTCACGGACAATGGAAAGCGCACCACTTATGTATCCTTTTTTTAGGTATTTGGTCTGTTTTCAGTTTTCAGTTCCTGTTTTGACCCGCAATGTGTTAGTAGCAAGCGCGCCAAGTGAAATGTCCAGTGCCGCGTATTGTTTTTTAATTTTTCTATAATTTTATTGATTTTTAAAGCAAAACAAAGTTTTTTTTGTAACTGAAAAAAAAAAATCAATTTAAAAATATAATATTTTGAACCGATGTGAAGTGCGAAAGGACTGTTTCTGAAGCTGTAGAGACTTTAGTTTCAAAGTGCCTAATTAGTATGCTGGGATTTGTTTACTTAGTTCTAATACTGGGCTGGATATTGATTGTCTTATTTCTAAAGTGCAAGAAAACAATCACACCACATTTTGCTTTCACCGATAATTACACCGACGCTATTGGAACAGGTAAGCTTTAATTAATAGAGAAGTCTGATAGGGTGCTGAGATTGGAATTTTTTTTTTTTTTTTTGATTTTTTATATACTTTTATTGCGATCTGCAACTTAAGAATAAACAATGAAAAATATTTAAGAGTAAGTGACTAAATAGTTACAATTTTTGTGGGCTTGAATGGACTGTGTTTAGTGGCACATCCATCTATTGAAGTCGGTGTTTAAACTCAAGCTTGATTAATATGTAAATCTCGAAGCTTGATTAATATGTAAATCTCGATTTATGTAAATCTCGATTTATCTAAATCTCGATTTATGTAAATCTCGATTTACATATTAATAAATAGTTAATTAACAATAAACAATATTAGACTGTTAAAACAATTGATTGGAGAAACTAACCATTTTGTGGATTGATTTTTTGTGGATAAAAGTAGGTGTAGTGAGTCGTGAGTGAAGTCTGATAGGATTCTGACATTAGAAATTAACAATCG